TTGGCTCAGTGGATAGAGCGTCAGCCTGCGGACTGAAGGGTCCCAGGTTCGATTCCAGTCAAGGGCATGTACCTTGGCTGTGGGCACATCCCCAGTAGTGGGTGTGCAGGAGGCAGCTGATTGATGTTTGTCTCTCATCAATGTTTCTAACTCTCTATCCTGCTCCCTTCCTCTCTGTTAAAAAATCAATAAAATATTTTTTTTTAAAATCAGCTGGTATAAATACCAGATAACATGACAATAAGCACAGAACCTGGCTGGAGATCCTGGCTAGGCTGCTGATCAACTGAACTCTGTCTCCGTGTCATTCCTTCTTCACCGACTCCGTCCACACTGTTGGGAACCCCTGGGCCTGCTGGGGTTGGACCGCAACAGTTAGTAATGGAAACTGACAAAAGACAAAGACTTTCCGAATTTGGAAAACTCTGGAATTTATGTTCTCATATGAGTCAGTCTTTCATTAAGTGCACTTGGGTTCCCCTCTAAGAACCAGCTGTAGACATAGGTTCCCTAATCAGAGCCCTGTCAAGGACATCTGAGCCAGCTCCTGTCAATCACTTTCACCGATCAGCTGTTTTTGACATGACATCTTAAAACTGATTGCACTTTTTCATAATGAGGCTACAATGCTGGGACTCTCAATGGATGTCTCCTACACAGATGCTCCTTCCTCCTTCCCAAATCTATTGGAAACTTTTATAGCAGGAACACTATTAGATTACAGAAGAAAATTCTTTATGAGCTCAACTCATTTTGAAATTTTATTTTATTATTATTTTTTTAAAATATATTTTTATTGATTTCAGAAAGGAAGGGAGAGATAGAAACATCCACGATGAGAGAGAATCATTGATTGGCTGCCTTCTGCACGCCCCCTGCCTTCACTGGGGATCGAGCCTGCAACCCGAGCATGTGCCCTTTACTGGAATCGGACTTGGGACCCTTCAGTCCACAGGGCCATGCTCTATCCACTGAGCCAAACCAGCTAGGGCTCACTTTAGAATTTTATAGATCTACTAGAGGCCCGGGGCACAAAAATTTGTGCACTGGCTGGGGGGTGTGTGTCCCTCAGCCCCACTTGTGCCCTCTCACAGTCTGGGACCCCTCGGGAGATAACGACCTGCTGGCTTAGGCCCGCTCCTGGGTGGCAGAGGGCAGGCCCAATCCTTAGTTGTAGCCCCTGGTCAGGCTCAGAGCAGGGCCGATTGGGGAGTTGGGGCACTGCCCACTGTCATGCACAGAGCAGGGCGGATCAGGAGGTTGTGGCA